GCCGGTCTTGTCTCCCCCAGCTAGACTGTGAGCGCCCCCATGGCGGGGACCTGCACCCCCACTTCTTCGGCTTTCGGCCGACGTTTATGTGCTATGTGCCCAGCCCGGTGCTGGCTTCGGTAGGAGACACAGGTGAGAGAGGGGCGCCGGCCGCAGTGCGGAGCTGGGAAGCGCGGGGAGCCCTCCCCACAGCCCGCCTGCCCGCCCCGAGGCAGGAAGGTCAGTGCCCGGTGGAGCTCGGAGACCTCTTTAGCCCACTGGATTGGGAGAGGTCAGGGGCTGGATTTAGTGGGTCTGCGTTCCACCGGCAGCTACGCTGTGAGCGCGCCCTGGTGTGTAGTTTACTCTATACCCAGCTTTAGGAGCCATCCTCCTAGTCCCAGACTAGGGCCAGTCAGTGGGAGTCAGGCGGTCTGCGGTCTTCACCTCCCTGGACAAATGCTGCAGTCATAAGGCTTGCTGTGATTACGGTGAGCTGACAGTGTCTCTTTGCAGATTTTGGCTATGGAAAGGGGAAATATACTAAGCAAGGTCCGCCGGGAGCCCATGAGACGCGCTTTGGAGGTAGAGTAGCTCAGTGATTCTTCTTGACCTCTTCCTCAGACACGGTGCCAGGCCATGGACTGTCAGAATGACAGGGTTTAAATGGGTGTGCCTGGAGCCCAAACAATCAGTGGAGGTAGAAGCCCAAGGATTGGAGACTGGGTGTGAGGGCAAAAATAACCTAAGATGTCAGAGGTGCCTGGGAGGTGGAGAGTATCATCAAAGGGCCCTGCAGAGTCAGCAAGACACAAGTCACAAGAACCCACTTTACTCAGGCTGGCACCTGGAAGGGATCCACACAAGTAACTGGAGTGTGGTAGGAGTGGAGGAAGGTAGAGGCTGATCAACTAGGTTACCTGGAGAAAAGGTCAGAGGAAGGAATGGCATGGAGTAGTTCTGGGCACTGTGGCATCCCAGAAGCTTTCAATCACCTATAGGAGTAACCATTAGCCCACACTGAATGTGTGGAGTCAAGATTCACTGGGGAGCTTCAGTGGTATACCAGTTGTCCAAATGTGTTCAGGACCCTGGACTTGATCTTTGGCACAGTGTGTTGTTTTTTTTTTTAATTTTTGTATTTTTTTTTTTAAGGTGGCAAGGGGTGAGAGTATGCCAAACAGACCTGTTCTCCACCCTTTTTGGGCAGCTTTCTTATTTGTAGCATTCTCTGAGTCACAGTTGAAATATAATGGTAATACAAGATGTTGTTGGACCCTTTAACAGTCTTTGTGGTGTCCGCTATTTCAGGTGACAAACTTGAAGACCTTGAAGAAGCCAATCCATTTTCCTTCAAAGAGTTTCTGAAAACCAAGAATCTCAGCCTGTCAAAAGAAGACACGAGCAACAGTCGAATTTACCCGAAGGTACATCTGGAAGCTGTCAATGGTTGCCTTTGATGACATCTCTTCTAACTTACAGCTTTGGAGACAGACATTTGAGTGTGGGGAGCAAAGCAGGACAGCTGTGGCTGCTGTTGGAGAAACTGTGGGTGGAGCAGCTGCTTGGCTCCTTTTGGTAGATGAAATGGGCCTTCTTTGTGCAAGCTGAGCATAAAGAAGGCTGAGTGTGGGCTTGCAGGTCACAGTGTTTATCTCCACTGTTTTTAGGAAACCTCGAGGCACCCACTGGGAGTAGACCACAGCAGCCCTGCCCCCCAGCCTGTGGGGTATGGCCTGGAATATCAGCAGCCGTTTTTTGAAGACCCAACGAGACCCAGCAACCTGGAGGAGGAGGAGGAAGAAGATGGATGGAATGGAGCTTACTTGCCATCCACTGTGGATCAGACTCATTCCTCTAGGGCCACAGAGAATTTATCACCCTGTGGCACCTACCTTTCCTTTTTTTCCAATGCATCAGAGCTGGCAGGTCCTCAGTCTTTGCCCCCATGGACAATGAGTGACCCTGACTCAAGGGTCTCCCCAGCATCTCCAGCTGGGAGTCCTAATACAGACTTTGCAGCTCATGGAGAGTCCCTGGGAGACAGACACCTTCGGACGCTGCAGATAAGTTATGAAGCAGTAAGTGAGGGCTGTGCGACACCGAACACAGACAGCTGAGCAGTGTTCTCGAGAAAAGCTGCAGTCATCCACTTCTTGGATGGCCTGGGTTTAATGCAGCAGAATGTCCCCATAGAGGGGCCTAGAGATATAGCTCAGTAGTAACGTTTTTTTCCTAGCACGTGGGAGGTCCTGGGTCCTGAAAGAGAGAGAGAGAGAGAGAGAGAGATAGAGAGAATGAGAAAAAGAGAGAAAGAGAGAAAGAGAGAAAGAAAATGGAATTTCTCCATGGAGAACTCTCCCCTTGGTTGGTTGTGCTGTTAGTGTAGCAGGCTGAGAAGTACTGTGGTGAGCTCAGAGGCAGGCAGGCAGGCAGGCAGGCATGAACTAGAATGAATAAATGGTCCACTGGAAGTGTTTCCGCGGGGATGTCCCACTGAATGTACTACATGAAGGGAGGTTTTTAAATTAGTCACCTAGAAATATTCAAGTCTGTTGCCACAGTTATCTTCTCTGGAGGGTGATTCCATTGACCTGTGCTATTTAAGTTCTGGAACTGGGTGTGGTAGTTCACAGCTGTCATCCCTGCACCTGGATAGTGAAGGCAGGAGGAACAGGAGTTCAAGGCCTTCCTTAGCTATATAGGAACAAGTTGGAGGTCAACCTGGTTACAGGAGATGCTGCCTCAAAAGGTACTTAATGGGCAAATGGGATGTGTCTCCACACTTCAGTCCTGCCTTGAATGCATAAGGCTCTGGATTCTACCTCCAGACTGACCAAAGAAAATATTCCAGAACAGAAGTATGTTCCACAGTAGTATGAGTGTCTAAGAGGATTTTTTTTTTCTCTACAGCTGAAAGATGAAAATTCTAAGCTCAGAAGAAAGCTAAATGATGTTCAGAGCTTCTCTGAAACTCAAACAGAAATGTATGTAAACTTGTAGTTAGGAATCACCTTACAAACCTTTTCTACCATTCAGAGAACTTGGTTCCAAGGGATGAGGTGCCTAGCTGCTTGTCGTCCATAAACCTTAAAGCAGCAAATGCACTTTGATGTTGTTTTAGTCTTTTAAGCACCAGACAAGTCAGCTGAACTTTGTCTTGGTTGGCTGAGCTTGAGAAAATGATATCTGTGCCTTCTACTGGGAACATGGAACAGTAATAACTGGAGGTCCTTGCCACCTTGTGGCTGGCTGCCTGAGGCAGCTTCTCCATCCATGGGCTCTAGTGGGTTTCTCCAGTTAATGAGGCTAAAGTGGAAGCACCCTTGACAATGGCCTGGAGAACTCAATTCAGTGTTTCCTTTACTGAGGGTGAGGACGCTTGAACGAAAGTTGGAAGCGAAGATGATCAAAGAGGAGAGTGACTTCCATGACCTGGAATCTGTGGTCCAGCAAGTTGAACAGAACCTCGAACTGATGACCGTACGGAGGGGCTCTGCTCTGGGGTAGTGGGCAGGGGGCAAGAAGCTGCTGAGACAGGGCACTTGCTGCTGTTGCCAGAGTCCACAGCTGGCCCCTGAGTTTCTCACCATGCTAAGTATGTGTTCTGTAGTAGTCCAGCATACTCTGGTACTGGAAACAGGTTGTGTCTTGGGGTAGGTAGTCTCCAGTGCTGTTGGTGAGCAGAGGCAGAGCCCAGGTTCTTTTTTGTTTGTTTTTTTGTTTTGTTTTGTTTTGTTTTTCGAGACAGGGTTTCTGTGTGTAGCTTTGGAGCCTATCCTGGCACTCGCTCTGGAGACCAGGCTGGCCTCGAACTCACAGAGATCCACCTGCCTCTGCCTCCCGAGTGCTGGGATTAAAGGCGTGTGCCACCAACGCCCGGCAGAGCCCAAGTTCTAAGGGATGGGTGTCCATGGGCAGAGTAACCAGGAAGGGAGGTTATAGCTCACTGCTATCTGTTGAACTAAGTGTCCTGTACTTGTGTATTGTGTTTACAGAAACGGGCTGTAAAAGCAGAAAATCATGTCATGAAGCTGAAACAGGATATAAGTTTGCTCCAGGTAAGTAGAAAAAAGGGTTTAACTGTTTGCTTTTTCTTTTGTAAAGTCCCATTGATGTGAGTTCAGGGAAGAAACAAAATGTGAGCTAGGCATGGTTATGTTTGCTTATAATAAATCCCAGCATTCAGGAGGCTTGAGGCAAAAGGAAAGTCTTAAGTTTAAGGCTAGCCTGGGCTACAGGGCAAGAAGCATCTGTTGTGAGTAGATCAAGGCCAGGCTCAGCCCCATGTGCAGGTCTTTGCCTCTTGGGTGTGATGCAGCAGTTGTCCTCTGAATTGCCTTGTATCACTAGTTTCTCACCCTCCTTCTAGACACAGCTCTCCAGTTTCAAACGAGAGAATGAAGCCTTGCGGTCCGGCCAGGGTGCCAGCCTTGCAGTGGTGAAACAAAACACCGATGTGGCCTTGCAGAACCTCCATGTTGTTATGAACAGTGCACATGCATCCATAAAGTGAGTCCCTGGGTGGCCTGGCTTCCAGATGTTCTAGCTCTACAGTCTGACTAGACTAGGAAGGGAAATGGGCTAAGTGGTCTGGCTAACCTGCTAGTTCACACTAGGTAGTCAAGCAGGGTTATTCTTTTGTTTTTAAGACAGGGTCTCATCATGTAGCTCTGACTGGCCTGGAACTCTGTAGACCAGGCTAGTCTTGAACTCACAGATATCCATCTGCCTCTGCCCTGGAGTGCTAGGATTAAAAGCATGTACCACCATGTTTTGGTTTTTTTGTTTTGTTTTGTTTTCTTTTGTTTTGTTTTTGAGACAGAGTCTCTCTATGTAGCCCTGGTTGCTCTGGAACTATGTGTAGACCAGGCTGGCCTCAGACTCCCCTGCTTGTCTCTCAAGTTTTATGACTAAAGGTATATATTATCATACCCAGTTTAAAATTTATTTTTTTTTCTTTATTTTATTTTTTTGGTTTTTTGAGATAGTGTTTCTCTGTATAGTCCTGGCTGGCCTGGAACTCTGTATATCAGGCTGGCCTCAAACTCAGAGATCATCCTGCTTCTGCCTCCTGAGTGCTAGGAGTAAAGGTGGGATTTTTTTTTTAATTTTTAAAAATTTATTTTTATTTCATATACATTTGTGTTTTGCCTACATGTACATCTGTGTAAATGTTTTGGATCCCCTGAAACTGGCAGTTATGAGCTGCTATATGGGTGCTAGGAATTGAACCCAGATCCTCTGGAAGAGCAGCCAGTGCTCTTAACCACTGAGCCATCTCTCTAGCCCCAGATTTTTTGGTTTTTTGTTTGTTTGTTTTTGAGACAGGCTTCTCTGTGTAGCTTGAGAGCCTGTCCTGGAACTCGGTCTGTAGAGCATGCTGGCCTCAAACTCACAGAGATCCACCTGCCTCTGCCTCTCAAGTGCTGGCTAGCTCCAGATTTTTATTTTTAATCTGTCCCAGAGAATCTTCTCACCTGGAATATATGGATGATACCAGGGCTTGAATCCAGCTCCTTTACCCAAAGACCCTGCAGCTCTGAATAAAGGGAATGATGTAGATTCCCCCTTATCCAGAAGACTACCACAGTGAGCAGAATACTGTGCACTAGACAGTTGATGATGGGGATTAAACAGTCACCAAGACTGCTGCTTGGTAAACCTGTCAAAGTGTACTTATCTGACCTACTGTACACGAAAGCATAGTATTCCTCCTGGTAGTTGTCCTCATGACTAGGAATGTGGCTTGCAGGGACTGCTGACAACATTGAGAGCACTGCACTACCACCTTGGCCTAGGCAAAGACCAAAATTCAGAATCAGTTTCTACTGAACTTGTCTGGCTTCCAGCCCACCATCTGTACCTGCCTTGCTCTACTGCTAGACCCAGGTAGCTGGCCAGTGCACAAGCACATGTGCCTGAGGACAGCCACACAAAGTCCAGTGTTCCAAACCCTGGTTGATCTGAGGAACTCTCTCTCTGGGACTCTTTCGATCTGTCGCTGGCTGCACAGCTGGAGTAATGACCCTGGTATCTGTCTGTTTCAGGCAGCTGGTGTCTGGAGCAGAGACCCTTAACCTCGTTGCTGAAATCCTGAAGTCTATCGACAGAATTACTGAAATTAAAGATGAGGCGGACTCTTGAGAACCACTAGCTGCCACCAGTTCCCACCACCTCTGCACCAGTGTCACCAACACGTCTTCCAGATGTGCCCCTAACCATGCAGTCTTCACCAAAGCATTTCATGGCCTAAGCAGTGTCACTGGCCACCTACAGTATGGGGCTCCTTTCCACCAGCTGCACCTGATGGTTTACACACAGTCCTTTGGGGAGAGTCCCCTTGTTGATAGACTCACTGATTTACTAGAAGGCATATTTGTAAAACCCAGCAATTTTTAGAAGTCACTAAAGCTAAAAACAGCACTTTCGTAAGAAGCTTCTTCCACTATCCTCTTGGATTTAGCTGTAGGATAAACTCGGACTCAGCCTCAACTTTGTTAAGCTGAACACTGAGCCAGTGTGGAAGTGAGCAGCCGGTACAGGGACTCATGCCTTTTTTCTGTCATTCAGTGCCTCACTAGATGATGGTTGACCATTGTGGCCTTAATAGGGTGGCTCCTGCAGTCAGCCTCAGTAAGGCAGCAGCACCATTTGCTAGATGCTGTCCTCCCACCAGGACCATAGGACCAACCAAGGTCACAGATCTTCCACGTTGCAAAGCTTTGTAAACTCACTGCTGTGAGCCTTCAGCTTTGAAAAGCCATTTGGGACTGTCATTTTTGATGCATGTTATATATCAGTGAGCCTTTTGCACAGTGCAATTCAGACTGAAATTTTAAGGACACCCTGGGGGGTCAGCACCAGGTCTCTGGACTGTCTGATTTTTCAAGGACAAGCAAGGCATAATCAGCACCCTGTGCTGAGGGGTGGGGGTTTGCAGACCATTTTCCTTTTTCTTTTATTTTTTTTTTTTTTTTTTTTTTTTTTTTTAATTTTCCTTTTCCCCTCCTGTTGAGATCAACAACTTTCTTGTCTAAATAAATCCTCAAGATCATTTGTACTGCCTTGTCATTCTGGCTTTGTCAGTGATTCATGCTTGAGAGCCACCCTGCTTTTTTTTTTTTTTTTTTAAAGATTTATTGTATATACAGTGTTTTGCCTCCATATGTGCCTGCAGGCTAGAGAGGGCACCAGATCTCAATATAAATGGTTGTGAGCCACCATGTGGTTGCTGGGAATTGAACTCAGGACCTCTGGAAGAGCAGCTAATGCCCTTAACCTCTGAACTATCTCTCCAGCCCGCCACCCTGCTCTTTTAACCTCAAGGTCTGCATCTTGTGAGGGTGTTTTTGTCATTGCTGGCTTATCAGATCCCCAGGTTCTGGACCCTTGAAGTCAGGCATATTGCAAGAATCTACACTCTTCAGTATGATGGGTGAGCCACATCTTTGCTGCATGTTTTGAGACTGGGTGAATGAAAACCTAGCATCAGATCTTTAGACGACATTAAATTACTAGGCCCTTTAACTCAGCCACAAGGAAAGTTACCACTTTCTGAAGCTGTAGTGTTGTAGCATCCCCATCCCACTGCTGGTTGTCAGTGACTCAGAGCAGACCAAAGTGAAAGGTGGAGGGACATAGAGGGAGGCTAAGGAAATGTTCCCTTTGCCCATCATCCTCAGCAGCTTTCTGCCTGCCCTTCCCACTGTGAGTGAGTGAGATGGGAGCTGCACAACTGCTTATACACTATTTTTGTGGTTTATATGCAAAATGTTCATAGATTAGAATTTTACAAGCACCACAAGACATGGCGTTGCATGCCTTTCCTCATAGCACCGTGGAGCAAAGGCAGAAGGATCTCCAAGTTCTAGGTCAACCTGTTCTACACAGCCTGTCTCAAGAAAAAAAAAAAAAGTTACAAGTATGGTGATGAAATTTGCCTGTTTATACCAGACATACACACACACACACACACAGACACACACACGCACACACACACACACACACCGACACACACACACACACACACACACACACACACACACACACAAACAGGTCCTTGTACATACATGCAAGATTAAATACCAGAAACCAACAGGTCTGCTTCAATGTCCCAGACTCACTCTGACAAATCCCAACTTTTGGCCAGACTTGCCATGACTCTGGTTTCTTGTTTGAGACAGGGTCTATATAGTCCTGGAATTTGTGTGCAGACCAGGCTGGACTTGAACTCACAGGGATCTGCCTACCTTTGTCTCCTAAGTGCTGGATTAAAGTGCTGGATGTACCACTAGTCTGTGCTTTCGTGACTGTAGTTCTTTGTGGTTCACAATGGCACCCTGTCCCCACTCTCAGTAGTGTGGGCAGCTAGCTTCTATTTAGTACGCCATAAGGCAATGGCCTTTCCCAGGTCCCACAACTGACAAGACACTGAGCCAGGTTTTCACCAGCCTTGTACCTTAAGCCTTTGCTCTGCTTCTGCCACTCACATTATTAGACACTAGGAAGAACCCCCAATTCCCCTATCCAGCCCTGTTGAGATGTTGGCCTCTAAGACAGGCCAGGCAGAACGTTACTGAATGAATGAATGTTCACAGCCAGGCGGTCCCAGGCTGTGGGCTTTCAGTTCGCCAAATGCAGGACAGTTTTTAGCGACACATTCACTGACCGTTCACACAAATCCAGGACACCAGGGACGAAACGTGCAGCTCCCAGAGAACCTGGAGGAAGCTGAGCTCTTCGACTAGAGCCCCGCCCCAGCAGCCGCCCAGCATGCTCTGCGCCGCGGCCTGGGGCGGGACTTCCGGTATGAGCTACTGAGTGCCGGGGCCTCCAGAAGTGTGATGTGCGTGTGGTCGCCTGGGTGACGGAACAGGCTGTGCAGTGTGTAGCGCGGCCTAGAAGGTAAGGACAGGCGGTCTGCAGCTCGGGAGGGACGAGGCAGCGTGAGGAAACCGAGGCCCTGCGTGGCCACGACCTTGCCGGAAAGGAAACCCGCAAGCCCAGCCGAGGTCTAGCATCTGGTGAAACACAGCAGGTTTGCACCGTGCTGTGTGCTTCGAGCCGTTGCTCTTCCCCGTTATGCGCCGCGGCACCAGGGATCAAGCTTAGCTAATCGAATCCACAGTGCATGGGCCCTCAACTGCCTTTCCCGGAGTCAGTTTATGCCCTTAGAAGGGACAGGCAGAAAGAAAGGCGCCTCCGATGTCAGTGAAGGCGGCCTGGGGCTCCCAACTTGGGACTTGAACCTGTGACTTTTTCTTCCTTCACATGAACAACGCGATAGGGGGATGGGGAGAGATGGAATTCCTGCCGCCTCAAAACACACGTTGCCTTTTCGTTGGAGGCCAGGGGTCCAGTGGCGGTGGTTTTTACTAGATCTGCAGACCTGGCCGCTTCTAACCATGCTTGGTTAGAAGTAAGGCTGCTTCTTGTTCAGGAACGACAGTGCTGAAGGGAATTTCTTTGTTTTGATGCAGCCAGGCAAGGCTGCTGTCAACACCTCAATAGTAAAGTCAAGCCAGGAGAGAGTGTTTCTTTTCATTTGTGACTGAGTGTGAACTTGTGTTTGACTTTTGTCTGAGACAGGATCTCACTAATGACCCACAACTCAGAGATCCTTCTGTCTGTCCTCCCAAATGCTAGGATTAAAAGTGTAAGCAACCAGGCCAGGCGGTGGTGGCGTAAACCTTTAATCCCAGCACTCGGGAGGCAGAGGCAGGCGGATCTCTGTGAGTTCGAGACCAGTTTGTTCTACATGAGCTAGTTTCAAGACAGCCTCCAAAGCCACAGAGAAACTCTGTCTGGAAAAACAAAAACAAACAAACAAAAAAAAGTGCATGCAACCAGGCTGGGGTGGCATACACCTTTCCCAGCACTGGAGAGACAGAGGCAGGTGGATCTCAGAGTTCGAGGCCAGCCAGGTTACACAGAGAAACCTTGTCTTGAAAGGAAAACAGTGTGTGCCACCGCACTCTATTTTTTTTTTTTTTTTTTTTTTTTTTTTTTTTTTTTGGTTTTTGGAGACAGGGTTTCTCTGTGTAGCTTTGGAGCCTATCCTGGCACTCGCTCTGGAGACCAGGCTGGCCTTGAACTCACAGAGATCCGCCTGCCTCTGCCTCCTGAGTGCTCAGATTAAAGGTGTGCCCCACCAACGCCTGGCTCACACTCTTTTTTTCAAGACAGGGTTTCCCTGTGTAGCTTTGGAGCCTGTCCTGGAACTAGCTCTTGTAGACCAGGTTGGTCTCAAACTCACAGAGATCCACCTGCCTCTGCTTCCCAAGTGATGGGACTAAAGGTGTGCGCCACCACTGCCTGGCTCACACTCTTCTTTCTTCCTTTTTTCCTTTCTTCTGTGTTCTGTCTGCATGTATGCCTTTATGCCAGAAGATGGCATCAAATGATTTGTGAACCACCACGTGGTTGTTGGGAATTGAACTCAGGATCTCTGAAAGAGTAACCAGTGTTCTACCACTGAGCCATCTCTCCAGTCCCCCAGACAATGTTTCTTTGTGTAGCCTTGGCTTTCCTGGAACTTACTCTGTAGACCAAGCTGGCCTGGAGCTCAGAGATTCATCCACCTACCTTTGCCTCCAGAGTGCTGGTACTAAAGGTGTGGGTCACTATGCCCAACTTTCACACCCAGATTTCTATCATTATGATATTTATTTATCTGTATGTGTGTGGTGAGGTGTCAAAGGAAAACCTGGAGTAGGGTCTCTCCACCATGTTCCTGGGACTGAACTCAGGTCATTAGGCTTGGTAGCAAGTACCTTTACCTGGTAAGCCATCTCACACACCAGAGCTTGTGTTTTCTATAATAGTCTTTCACTCCCCCCCACCCTCACCCCCAGTTTCCTCCTCTCTCAGATTTTGCTTAGTGTTCCCAAGAGAAAGTCTCCTTTGTGCTTTAGTAGATACTTGCTCAGTGTCAGGCAGGATGGTGTGCCAGGTGCTGTTCTGAAAAGATACGTCAGAAGCAAGCAAAGTCTTGCTCTAAAGGCTAGCCATTCAGCACTGTCCAGCTAGGCTACCTGCAGCTGTGGTCATGGTTTAGATCACAAGGACTGAACATCTTTTACTTTGCACTTTCTGCATTTGGTGACCAACTCCCTGTGGTTGGACACAAGGGCACAGAGGCTACACAGGTGGACTGTGTTTTTAACCTATGGTAATGGTAGCCTCAAGAAGGCAGGGTCATTTTCAGGTGTATTGACAGGTGTTGAGTCAAGAACAGGAGTCCCTGGGTGTAAAGTGTCAGCCTGTAGGGACTTAATCTCATGGTACCCCCAAGCTGATCTTGAGCCTAAGTCTCCATCTGGGTAGCCCATTGTCTGCTTTTGAACAGGCTCTTGCCATCTCCAGCAAGTGTGTATCTAAAGGAGGATGAGATCCAAGTACACTCAGATTCTTATGTTTCATAATACTGTGAAGGCAGGTTGAAGCCATGGACATAGATGCTGAGAGAGAGAAAATAACACAGGAGATCCAGGAGCTCGAAAGAATTTTGTATCCTGGATCCTCCAGCGTCCATTTGGAGGTCTCTGAATCCAGTCTCAGTTCAGACTCTGAAGCAGGTGAGCCTATGTACCTGACCTAGCATGGCATGGCTGGAGCAGCTGCATGTACCCATTAGCTATTAGGCTGTGGACTGCTCTGTGGCCAGACTCTGTTTCTTGCCCAAACTGTCCTCTGCTTTTACCTCAGCAAGAAAGTTTCTTCCATTCCCTCAGTCTTTGGGCCTACCTGTGCATACCTGCCTCTGCTGCCATTTGGCCTGGGACTTTCTAGGCAACAGTGGCATCCTGGTAAGAGGGGAGAGCTCAGAGTTCAGCCTGTCAGCTTGAGTAGTCTCCATGACCCAGACACCAGGATTTCTTTCTGAGCTTAGTGGATAACCTCCAGTGGGGCCCTGTTGTGAGGACTCTTCCCTCTTTGCAGCATGTTCTTGCTACCCAAGCTCCCACTCTATATCGTGTGCTTGTGTTTCTTACAGATCTCCTGCCTGATGAGGACTTGGAAGCCACTGGTACCCCCATCGTGGTAATTGTTGCTTACTAGGCTGGGCTGCCGGGTCACACCTGCTGCTACCTTCCAAACTGGCCCAAGAGGGCTTGGTTTGCACCCCTGTTGGTTTTTCTACAACTACTGCCCATTTATTGTGAAAATAAGGCTCACAGAGTATTATTTCTTTGTGGTACTAGGGATGGAATCCAGGTACTCATTCATACTTGGCTCACACTCTACCACTGAGCTGTACCCCTGAACACAAATTATTATCAAAACTAAAGTTATTGGCAGAAGTAACCTTTTTAACCGGCTGGTAACCATAGTTGCTGGCTTTTCTTGCACTCACACTAAAAACATCAGATGTGGGAAGCAGCAAACCACATGTCTGGGCCCTGCTCCACAACTTACCTGCTGTGCCTCTATTTCCCAGTCTAGACAGTGGTTACCATAAATGACTTAGAAAAGCACCTGCCAGAGATTTGTCTTTCATACCAGAGTTGCTAACCATGTTTTGAACATTTTAGGCATTTTATTTGGGGAAAATTTTATATTTTGCTTATTTCCTTACTAAGCGAACAAGAATCGAGTCCCTTAGTATTTAAGGACTATGTATCTGCTCAATAGACTGACACAGCTCTGTAGTCATTGGACATTTGGCATTGCCAGGCTATTCAGGCAGTTTCCTTACTAATATCTGACACTTGCGGTGCTGAGGATGGGGACAAAACAAATTTGCTGCGAAGTTCAGGCTTCACAGAGATATCTGTTGCAAAAATGGAAGCTGCTTGCTATGGTGCACCAACCCCCACCTCCAACCCCAGCCTATGCTTCACAAGCAGGTCTCATGTTGATTTGAAAAGATGCACACACTCCAGCTTGAGGGTGGTGGGCTCTGTTTCCAAGTATAACTCCTCCCTATTCAGTGGGCTTTTACTAGGGTTGCCTCAGTGACCCTTGTGGACTTGGGCTTGAGTGTGGCAACAAGGAGGGTGTTGCTATCTCTTCATTTGCCATTTGTGGCTCCTAACCAGGAAGAAGAAAGGTGGAGCGAGGCCAGCAATGATGAGGAGGACCCCAAGGACAAAGCTCTTCCTGAAGACCCTGAGACCTGTCTGCAGCTAAATATGGTCTACCAGGAGGTGATTCAGGAGAAGCTGGCAGAGGTTAGCCAGCTGCTAGCCCAGAACCAGGAGCAGCAGGTACAATAGCCTACTCAAGGCCTATATAAGCTCTACTGACCCTCAGCGTCCCACAGGATCAAGTTCCCAGGACAGGGCTCAGAGTGGATCTATTCACCTACCACCTGCTCTCTTCCTCTACTTGCTCACTGATGGCCTTGCTTTTATTCCAGGAGGAGATCCTGTATGATCTGTCTGGGACCAAATGCTCCAAGGTGAAGGATGGCAAAAGCCTGCCCTCATACATGTACATAGGCCACTTCATGAAGCCATACTTCAAGGACAAGGTCACTGGAGTGGTAAGTAGTAAAGACCCCTCTTTCAGCAGCTGGTTGAATGTCCTAGGAGAAAAGGGCTGTCTTCTTCACATCCTGTTGTGAGTGCTCATAAGTTCCCTTGGGTCTTTGGGTTAACATTTTCTATCCTCCTTAAAAGTGCCTTATCCCAGCCAGGCGTTGGTGGCACGCCTTTAATCCCAGAACTCAGGAGGCAAAGGCAGGTGGATCTCTGAGTTTGAGACCAGCCTGGTCTACAAGAGCTAGTTCCAGGACAGCCTCCAAAGCCACAGAGAAACCCTGTCTCGAAAAAAAAACAAAAACAAACAAAAAAAACCTGCCTCATCCTTTAATGAAGGTCAAGGCCTCCCACTGACATTGCCCTCTGGGCTGTGTTTTCCTGAAATAGAATCACAGCATTTAACAAGTCAGTAGTATAGATCTGAAAGTGCTCGTGACCTCACATGTCTAACTGGAGTCTCTGGCTACTTACTTCCTTGTGCTGGGTGTATCAAGCCCAGGGTTTTTCACTCAGCAGTAACTTGTAATACAGACATCTTGGCCCTGCCCTGCATGTGGGCAGTGTGTAAGGAGGCTAGAGAGAAGATTCTGAGTCTCCATGGGGACCCTGGAGGGTGAGTGTGTTTAGTGTGCCATGTCCTGATACTGTACACTCTGACAGGGGCCTCCTGCCAATGAAGACACACGAGAGAAGGCTGCCCAGGGAATCAAGGCCTTTGAACAGCTCTTGGTGACCAAGTGTAAGAGTTCAGACAGGCTTTTGGGTGGGCATCCACTAGCCATAGAAATTACAGAGGGCATTCCCACAGCCTGGCCTGTGCTAGGCAGATCCTGTAATTCTCAGGCCTGTTCCTCCTGTGGCTTCACAGGCTCCTGAAGGCCTTGATCACTGGGACTGGCCACTTGATCTTTTGCCTTTCCAGTGCTGAGTTGATGCAGGCTGGGCCACGCACACAGCCCTTCCCAACTCTAGCTATTCTCAGAACACTTAACCCTGAAAGAATACTCTGAGCTAGGCTTTGGGTGGAGGGTGGAATCATGGGCCGGAAGGTGTTCTGGCTGGCTGCCCTACTGGCATCCAGAGATGTAGCCAATGCCTTTCTGGAGCAGGAAGCAGGGGGTGGGCTAGGATTGTAGAGAAGATTCAGTGGACATGTGTGTCTGTGGAGCAGGCAAAGTCTCATAACATCACATCACTATTTCTTTCTCTTCAGGGAAGCACTGGGAGAAAGCCTTGCTCAGGAAGTCCGTAGTGAGTGATCGCTTGCAGCGCCTACTTCAGCCCAAGATGCTGAAGTAAGTCCTGAAACAGGTCATCTTAGCCTTCCCCACAGATGAAAGCCAGGCACCTGTGGGGCTGGTGAGGTTCATCGTGGCATGCTCTGTCTTTTCTTTCTCCTGCTGCCCTTTCAGCACTGTGATGTCGATGTCTATCCTTTGCTCTGAAGAAGGTGGCCCAGCATTGTGGCCAAATGTGGAGCATGGGGGGCAGAGTGAGCATCCATGTTTAGCTACATGCTGTAGGCAATTTCTGGAATTCTCTTTTCTGGTTTCTGGGCCTGTCTGTGAAACCAACTTTATGTGTGTGTTGATGGGTAATTACCATGTGACCAAAGGGCATCACGCAGTTCCCGATGTGAGTACACAATCAAGAGCATTATTGTTTTGATAACTGGCTGGAAACAGATGTCCTCTGGGGCAGAGTGTCAGCTGTACCTGAAGAGCCACACCTCCTGTGTCTGTGTAATCAAAAAGGGCCAAGTGGCCACATGATGCTGACAATGTTAAGGATAGAGTAATCAGAGCAGATGAGTCTCTCAGAACTGGACCACTGTGGGGTATGAGTCACCTCTGGACTTGTGTGCTCGAGAAGAGAATGATGGTTTTCCTGAAGTGTGAGAGAGCCAGCTCTTCTCTCCCAACCCCTTATGTTTGCAATTTGCTGAAGGCAGTAGCTGCAGAACTAAGTCAGGCTTGCCTGAGATGTCTGTGTCCTGGAAGCCAAAATTGGCAGAGGATCCGGTCTCTGAGATGCAAGCAGCTACCATCTATCTGCCTCTGCAAACAACCTAGCAACTCCTGCCCTAGATGGTTCTATTCTGATGGTAGGGGTACCCCAGAGGTGGTACCAGGGCTTCCTTTGTGGTAAGGGACCAAGGCAAGAGAGAGAGCACATTCCTGTGCAGGTTTTCCAACCTTGAGCTGTGAGACTTGCACAAGAGCAATTCAGAGAACAGAGCCTCAGCTTACTTAGTACATCTCATCCACACCTCCTCCACTATACTTACCTTGCAGGCTTGAGTACTTACACGAGAAGCAGACCCGAGTCTCCAGTGACTTGGAGAGGCAGGCCCTGGAAAAGCAGATTAAGGAAGCAGAGAAAGAGATTCAGGACATCAAGTAAGCTGGGGCCTTTTGGGTCCAGGGAAGCACTGCAAGCCTCGGATGATACCAGCTCCTTGTCTTTTCCTTTAGCCAGCTCCCTGAGGAAGCTTTGCTGGGGAACCGGCTAGATAACCACGACTGGGAAAAGATTTCCAACATCAATGTAAGTCAGGGAGGTCTGGGTGCCCACAGCTGCAGTAGGGCTTCTAAGCCAAGTGTGGGTGGGAACTAAGTTGTTAAGCCACACCTTCACTTGTGCCTTAACCCACTATAAACTCTCCAGTCAAGTATGCCTAGCACTATTGGAAGTTGCAAAGGACTTCATGGCACCCTCCCTAACTAACAAGGTGCCCTTCCTGAGATGAACAGTCCTCAGTGCCTTTTTGCTACACAAATGGGTCCACTTGCTTAATGGCCACAGAAGCCACTGGCTGGCAGCAGTGACAACCCATCCAGGAGCTATGTCTTTGATATGCTTGGCATCAGCAACCCCTCTGAAGACTGTTCTTTCTCATGGGTGCAGTTTGAAGGAGGCCGCAGTGCAGAGGAAATCCAGAAGTTCTGGCAGAGTTCTGAGCACCCGAGCATCAACAAGCAAGAATGGAGCACAGAGGAGGTAGAGCGACTGAAAGCCATTGCTGCCACACATAGCCACTTGGAGTGGCATTTGGTTGCAGAGGAGCTAGGGGTAAGGACCGGGACCTGTGGACCTTGGAAGTCTGGGAGGACATGAGGTTTTTTCTGGGCTTGGGGTGGAGCTCAGTCTCATGCTGTATAGTTTGGTACACACAATCTTAGGAAATAATTTATTTGGTAAATTGTGCTTTTAAAGAAAGTCATTTGAGCCAGGTGTTGGTGGCGCATGCCTTTAATCCCAGCACTCTGGAGGCAGAGGCAGGCAGATCTCAGGACAGCCAAGGCTACACAGAGAAACCCTGTCTCGAAAACCCCCCCACAAAAGGAAAGAAAGAAAAAAAGAATGTCTCTTTTATCTTCTTTTTAGCTTTAAATTTCATCTTGTCTGGTGAAAATGTGACCATTTGCTGCATTTTCTTTGCTTGGTATTTGTTGTGGGAAAAGGCCTAGAAGCAAACTATAGCTGAGCACCTACCACATCCAGCCCCATAAATCCTGTGTCTGGAGATCTGGCTCAGATAGTGAGTCTACTAGTAAAGCCTTTCCATGAGGGGATGAGTAATGGGGCAGGTGCAGCAGCAGTGTCACGTGCCTGTGGCTTATCTGTTGGGTTCTCCTTCCTGAGGTGTGCTCCTCATCCCTGCCTATCAAAGGCTCTAAATAGCCTGCCTTAGAACTTGAGAGCTAGAGGGATTCTCTGAGAGGCTTTGAGAGGCATTCCCACAGCATCTCCTTCCATCCCTCTAGGAATTGGCAGTGTAGTTTGGACATCTGAGTTAGCTGTCACAAGATTTTTCTTGTTTGTTTTTAAGATAGGGTCTCACTTGAGTCCAGGCTGGCCTGGAGGTCACAATGTAGCCCATGCTGACCTCACATTCATGGCACTTGTCCTGCTTCAGACTCCCAAATGCTGGGATTAGCAACATAGTTGTCTATGGCCAGGTTTTCTTTTATAAGCCATTAGAACCCTCTCCAAGCTACTCCTATTTTGGGTCCCTGCCATGGTCTAGCAAACTACCACTCCACAGGAGCCTAGAAGAGGAGAGCTCTGTTGTACAGAGTGCTACCTGTGCTTCAGACCTACCTATCTCCTGTAAGCCCCTGCGGGGGCTGCTCTGGGTGTCTCTGCATGTGCAAGGTGAAACCGAATGATGCCCATTTGTTTCTGTTTGGCTTTGGGAAGACAAGCCGCAGTGCCTTCCAGTGCCTGCAGAAATTCCAGCAGTACAACAAAGCCCTGAAACGCAAAGAGTGGACAGAAGAGGAAGACCACATGCTCACCCAGCTGGTCCAAGAGATGCGTGTTGGGAACCATATTCCATACCGCAAGAGTAAGCCCACCACACCAAAAGGCATCTTCCAGTCCCTTGAGCTGCTCCACACCCTAGTGTTCTGAGGCCCTAGGTGCCTAGAAGCAGAGACTTGTAGAAGAGTTCACAGCTGTACTAGGGAGAGGTGGAAGGGGGAGAGAAGGTCCTGATGACCAGAGTAACTCCTCTCCATAGCTTCTGGGAGTCCCCTCTGTCCCTGCTTATTGCCTGCATAAGATGGATGAGTCCCAGTCTTCTCTGTCCCCAGTTGTCTACTTCATGGAAGGACGAGACTCCATGCAACTGATCTACCGTTGGACCAAAAGCTTGGATCCTAGCCTGAAAAGGGGATTCTGGACCCCAGAGGAAGATGCTGTAAGTTTGGCACCCAGAGCAAACTGTACCCAGAAAGTTTGCCTGGCTGTCCTTAGTACAGTCATATGCCCTTCTTAAGTGGACAGACCTCAGGGTGGGGAAGACATGGCTATCCCGTGAAGGCATTGTCTGTTCGCTTCTTTCCTGCAGAAGTTGCTTCAAGCTGTTGCCAAGTATGGGGCGCAGGACTGGTTTAAAATCCGGGAAGAGGTGCCAGGTAGGAGCGATGCCCAGTGCAGAGACCGGTGAGTTGCCCGCACTGGCTGAAGGAGCGACTTGCTTGAGTCACACTTCTATAGGCAGGCTGGGTGACAGCAGCCAAAAGTGCTATGTCCACAGGAGCTTTGCATACTACTAGGGTTGGCACTGTTGGGAAGCAGGACTTTCATACTTCTGTTGTTCACAAGGTATCAAATGCTAGTGGCAACTCTTGCAGATGTCTCCCACATTTTGATGAGAAGGTCCCTATCAGGTTACTGGGGTTCTTTCCTTTTCTCCCTAGTTTCTTTCTGTGGTTTGTTCAGACATCTTTCACTTTACCTTGTTAATGTAAATTACCCTACAATCTACACTCAGCAATCCCACAGAATCCCATTCAAACAGGCAAAGGTCAACAGACTTATCTCTAAACATGCACAAGTAAGCCAAAAGGCCCATGAAAAGATGCTCAGTCACTAATTTCAGGAATGCAAGTCAAAACCACAGTGAAATATTTCATATATGTAGGGGGTATGGGCAGCTGTTAAAACAAACAAAAAAGAAAACCGAATACTACTAAGTGTTCCTGGGGAGCAGAGGACAGCCTCCAGAGAAACCATATACATGAAACAGCATTATGCCGGATAGTATCGTGTAGTCTCTACCTGCAAAACTCAAGTGCCCAGGCAGGAACTCCTGTACTGGATAAGAATGTTTGTAAAACATTGTTCATTGTTAATAAGAAAATGGGGGGATACAAATTTAGAGTCCTGGCTTTTGCAAGGAAGAGCATTCTGGTAGATGCTGTGTTTCCATACATTTGGATAAAAGAGGCACAAGCCTTGAACATTTTGACCATTTGGACAAGTGTTTATCAAGGTGTGCTTATTTCTCTGGGTCAGTGACTCTTGTGTTTGCCTTTTTGGGGAGCTGCCAGACTTTGTGCAAAGTGTGACTATTATTTTGTGCTCCCACAAGCAGCATGTGAGGGTTCAGGCTTTCTATATTCACGCCCCGGCCCCCGGTATTTGTTCCTGTTGTCACTGTCTCTGCTTGTGACTACACCCCTCCAAGTGCCTGTGAAGTAGACTCTCACAGTAGCATCTCACAGCAGCCCATTGTGACTAACTGCTGAGCCTCCTTGCTTGCACCTACTGGTTTCTTACATGTGTACATCTCTTTAGGCAAACGTGTTAAGTCCCTTGCCCAATTTAAATTACTTGTCTTTGCATTACTGACTTGTGAGGGTTCTTTATGTGTTCTGGATGTAAGTACCTATCAGATGCAGGATTTTCATGGATACACCAGTCTTGTCTCAACTTTCTTTACCTTCTTTACCAGAGCCCTCAAAGCAGTGGTTCTAAGTTTGTGGGTCAGCACCCCTTTGGGGGTTGAATGACTTTCACAGAGGTCATCTAAGACCATTGGAAAACACAGATATTTACATTAGAATTCATAACAGTAGCAAAATGACAGTTGTGAAGTAGCAATGAAAATAATTTTATGGTTGGGAGTCACCACACCGTGGAGAACTATTATTAAAGGGTTGCAGCATTACGAAGGTTGAAAACCACTGCCCTAAGGCATGAAAATTTTTAAATGTTTGACCAAGTCTAGCTTGTCTTTATTTTTATTCATTTATATGCTTATGGTGTCACTCTAAGACATCATTGGAGAAGGCAGAAGAGCAGCGGAGGGGTCTTAAACTCTCCCTCTATTCCACACTATTTTCAGCTACATCAGAAGATTACATTTTAGCTTGAAGAAGGGACGATGGAACGCAAAAGAAGAACAACAGCTGATCCAATTAATAGAAAAGTATGGAGTTGGTGAGTTGTTGGGAACTGTCCTTTCTGTAGCTGCTGATTCCATACATACTGTGAATTCTTACAGCCCATCTGGAGACCTGTGTTTTTTTCAGATCTCAGGCTGTTGTCCTGATACCAGCTTCTGCCTCGTGCTCATTCTTGACAAGTGGCAGTGTGTCTCCCCAATTGCAAATGCTCTTTTGTTTTACTGCCGGTGTGGGGGATGGAGTCCAGGACCTTATTCTGGCTAGGCAAGCATGCCTCTAAGCTCCAGCCCCATGCTCTCCATTACAAATGAGTGGATATTCGCTCTAGGAAATTGGGAAGCCAGACAAAGTGGTACAGACCTTTAATCCTGGCACACACAAATATAAAACACAAGGGGGAGAGCATTGAAGAGCATTACCCAAGATTCACCCCTGGCCTCTATGTACATGCACCTGCAGTCATTGTGTCACCTAACATTGTCACAACTGTGCTACGTTGGTCCTGCTTCAGGGGCTGCCTTGGTGTTCTGTGCAGAGGAGCCTCTGGGATGTTCACTCAAATCTTTTGTGACTGGTATTTTCAGTATTTCCCATTTTTTTAAAAAAGGATGTATTTATTATGTATACAGTGTTCTGCCTGCATGTTTGCCTGCACACCAGAAGAGGGCACCAGATCTCATTACAGATGGTTGTGAGTCACCATATGGTTGCTGGGAATTGAACTCAGGACCTCTGGAAGAGCAGTCGGTGCTCTTAAACTCTGAGCCATCTCTCCAGCCCAGTATTTCCCAATTTTTACTACAGGGCAGTAGTGAGCATTTGTAGCTAAATCTTGCTGGCACCGGTGATCCCACCTCAGAAAAAAGCTAACTATGATTCTGGGACATGCAAAATACAAAGGATTTTGTCACCTGTTGATACACTTCCCCATAAGTGCAACCTACAGGTGTCCCTCTGCAGCACTAGGAGCAAAGCATGGACATTGTCTCTTTAGTGCCTTAGTGCAACAGAGGCACCAGGGCCTGGAGAGTGACTTTCCTTTCCTACCTCTGTGTGTGCCAGAACTTCCTCAAGGGCTTGGTCAGCCCTGAGATACAGATGCTGCCAGACACAGGTGTTCTGGCCAAGTACATGAGGGAAGACATCCTGATTACTTAGCCTCAATCCTAGAGGCTGGATTGTGGTTGTTTTTGCAGGTCATTGGGCAAGAATAGCTTCTGAATTGCCCCATCGGTCAGGCTCCCAATGTCTGAGCAAGTGGAAAATAATGGCCAGGGTGAGACATTTGTTTGCTTTCTCTGTATATGCTTTACTCAAGCTCAGGTGGAAGGCCCATAACCTATGGGAGTGATTAGGCAAGGGAGGGGAGTGCACAGGTTCTGGCCCTTACATACCCTTTTCAGGAGGCCCAGGGCAGAGGGAGACCATACCTCAGCAGCAACCCCTGGAAGTATTCATGCTTGGGACCTCTATAAGGCTAGCCTGCTTGCTTGTCACCAGCACGCCTGAGTAGCTGAGACCTGAAGCAGCCCTTTCCTCCCCACAGAAGCAGCAGCATCTCCAGAGGAGGAGGGGGCGGAGGCCCAATCGTAGTAGCCAGTGGAGCTCTAGCAGCAGCAGCGACAGTGAGGGCTATGGCAGTAGCAACAGCAGCAGCAGCAGCAGCAGTAGCAGTGAAGACTCAGAATTGGAGCTGGAAGAGCCTCTGGAGAATGGCAGAGCACTGGTTCCTCAACAGTACAGAGTGCCAGACATTGACCTGTGGGTTCCTACCAGGCTGATCACCAGCCAGTCACAGAGAGAAGGGGCAGGGTGCTACCCAGCACACCGTGCTGCCTCCTGCACTCTTGACACCACTCAAAGTCACCACAAGGAAGGTCCCACCACCGTCTCCACTCCTCAGATAAGCCAGGTACAGATGCCCTGTGAGACCCACAGCACTGTTGTAAGAGTGGGTCCAGTTCCTACACTTACCAGACACTCACATAACAAGTAAAGAGGACCCAGCCAGCAAGGTGTACTCTAGAATGTGGGAAAGTGGAGTAGTGGGTGCTCTGTGCTCTTAGTGGGCACTAATGCTGGCACTCTGGACAGTTTGGTAGTTTGCTTTTTGACCTGGCCACAGCCATGTCCTCTTGTTCACTAGAATGTGTTGCTTAGGACTGCTTTCAGAGTTGTGCAGTAGTAGTGGCCTTCACAATGCAACCTCCATTGTCCCTAAGTCATTTGCTTTAAAGACTGTAAGGACATCTGTTTTCAGGGCACACCTGAGTGGGCAGTTCCCCACCTCCAACTGCTGAGTCCACAAGGTATCCTTGTGCAGTGTCCCCAATTTGTCTGGTCATATGCATCTACCTGTCCCCTCTCTATCCTCAGAGTTGGGACCTGGGGCAGGACACAGCTCTGGCAGTGGCTACAGCAGCCTTGTGGGCTGCATAGGCTGCCCTGCCCAGGGGGTTGCTGGAAGACTGGTACAGTCCGCTCAGCCATGGTCCTGCCTGCCGTGTGGGCCAGAGCATCCCTTAGAGAGGGAGCTAAGCCAAGCCCTACCTGAAGACCACATATTTGCCTTACCACAGAGCACTGTCCCAAATAGCAAATGGTGTTGATGGTTTGTGCTATGGGGTCTCACAAAAAGTTGTTAATCTACACCAGGTCCTTCCACAGTCAGCCTTACCGGGTCTCACAAAGAGCTGTTACATCTGCACCAGGTCCTGCGGCAGTCAGCCTTACAGGGTCTCTTTTGACATGCAGCATGTGGTGAAAGTGCCCCTGGAGAAAATGCTGAAGTTGATCAGGGCCCGCCCAGCCACCCAGAACCACACACTGGTGAAGGAAAGACTGAGGCAGCCATCCCTGCCTAATTCACACTCAGAGTCTGACCCTGGTGATAATGTGGCTGTGCCCCATCTGCGGCGGCTGTGGCATGGAACTTTCCAGAATAAGCTGAGACGCAAGCGACAGGCTCTGCACCGAAGGCTTCTTAAGCACAGGCTTCTGCTGGCTGTGATACCCTGGGTGGGTGACATCAACCTGTCCTGCACACAAGCTCCTAGGAGACCTGCAATAGTGCAAACCCAAGGTACTACCTAGGGTTCTATGGAGCTGGGGTGGGAGCAGGCAGTGGAAGTGCTTCTCCTTGTGGCACAGTGAACCATAGGGGAGTAGCCTGATTTGGGTTCTTTGGAGAGGTGAAACCATAAAGGAGTCCAGCTGGGTTTGGGGTAGTGGTGAGAGGCTTAGGGGGCCCTGCCTTCTGCTCTTTGAGGTAATGTGGAGCACTAAGGCTGCTCTGCCCCAGACTGTCTTGGGGAGCTTCAAAACTGGAGCCACTCTGTGCTCTGACCTTGTTCTCTAGCTGACAGCATCAGGACACAATTAGAGCGTGCCCACCTGACCAGCACTCCAGTATTCACACTGCTTATTCAGGTAAGCCCCAGAAGACTGCTGTCTGCTGTCTCCTGTTCTGGTAAAGAAGCATGCATGGAGCCCAAGTCCAGGCTGGAGGCTGCAAAACTGTCCTGACCTCCCCGGACAGTCAGAGGCTTGAGGAATTTGGATCTAACTCTGGAACAACCATGGTCAGGGCAACTTTCCATCTCCTTGACCATTGCTGGGCCTGGCCCAGTGCAGGGTGGAACAGGGAGGTTCTTATTCTCAGGTCTCTCAGCTATTGCAGATTGATGCTGTGGGCTGCATGGAGGTGGTCCGCGAGAGGAAGGCCCAGCCACCTGCAGTGCTCCAGCCTAGCACCCAGAACCCCCAACCTCATCTTCTGCAGGTAACAGACACTGGGAACAAGAAGGTCACACTGAGTATGGGGGCATACTGCTTTAATCCCATCACTTAGAATGTAGAAACAGGTGAAGCTCTGTGAGTTAAAAGCCAACCTGGTCTACAGTATAGCGAGTTTTAGGCCAGCTGGGGCTACATAATGAGACCTTATCTCAAAAAAAAAAAGGAGTAAGAACAAATGTTGCTCATCCTCCCCCATCCCTTCCCCAGGTTCAGTGTCAACCCTTCCTCGGAGGGGCAATTCCCAGGCATTCCCATAGAAAAGTTGGCTCTCCCTCAGTACAGCCCTTACCATACCTTCTCCAGGGTGGCATCTGTATGACCTACCCCACAGGAGGCCTGATTAGAGTCTGAGGTAGGGGCAAGGTAGGCTATGGGGTAGGCTTGCCATCTGCAAGGCCTGGTATCTGCAAGTCAGTAACACCATCTGTTCTAGGAACCAAACTCATGAGTTCTGTTTGGGGAAGACTTCACCCTGGAACCCTGTCACTTGGGGAGACAGTAAACCAAAATAGAACTCTGGTGCCCATAGCCCATGAGCCCCACACTGACCAATAATTACTTGACAAACTCTGGCCAGGTAGCCTTTAGCGGAGCTTTGCTGGAAGCCTACCAGCCACTGTTGTCCTTTCTCAGGCCCCCTGTGTTCAGTGAAGATGGGAAGGCCCCCAGAGTTGAGTGGGTGGTGAGTGGGAAGAACTAATGGGATCCAGCAAAGATTCTACAGGCTGACTCTCCTCTCTTCACAGGCATTCTCCAGTGCCAAGAACAGCACAGGTACCATCTGCCACATCTTTCTCTCTTATGGTGGGAAATGCCATGCATTTGAGCCATAGCCTCTAGCAGCACAGCCAGTAACCCTGAAAATAGGCTAGAGGGACCTGGAACTGCTTGGGCTTTCAACTTTGGGCAGCCACTGAGGGCTCGAGGCACCTGTTGTGTCACATGAGGGCAGAGCCCAGCAGCCCTAGTTTTGAGGATGCTAGAGGTTTAAGGAGCCAGGCTCTCACAGCTTGTTAGATGTAGACTGGGCTCTCTCTCTATCATCTGCTGCCCTCTCTGTGAACAGAGTGTCCTAGGTTGGGGACCCATGAGGTAAGCTAAAGCTTCACACATGGGTTTGCTGGTGTCCCTGGGCATAGAGCCTGAAGTTCTCGTCAAGCTAGTTGTCTCTTGCTCTAGGCTGCCTCCTCCCAAGCATGCCGGGTCAGCAAACTACAAAGAGAGACAGCCACAAAGGGCGTCCACGGCTGGGAACGTGCGGGACTGAAGCTACCTCCTTCCAAGTTCCTGTAGCAGCTCCAGGTGGCCTCCGGCCAAAGCCCAAGACTGTATCTGAGCTGCTTCGTGAGAAGCGGCTCCGTGAGTCTCGTGCTAAGAAGGCTACTCAGGCCCTCACTGCCATCAACAGCCAGTTGCTGATCTCCTCACCTGTGATCCTCCAGCCCCCTCTGCTTCCAGCCCTCCAGGGTTCCCCAGTAGCAGGCCCTGCAACATCCAGTGTAGAACTCTCTGTCCCTGTGGCCCCAGTGATGGTCAGTTCAAGTCCTTCTGGCTCCTGGCAGGTGACTGGGATGTCAGCCACAGACAAGCAGCCCCCTATCCAGCAAACCATTCCCCTAAATGCTTCCCACAAAGGGACCCAGATTGCAGCCCCTGCTGCTTTTAGGAGCCTGGCCCTGGCTCCCAGGCAGGTCCCCACAGGCTGCCCTCTGAGTACTCTAGGACAGTCTCAAGCCTCTGTCACATCCCAGAAGCAGGGCCTGTCCAAGGTCTTGCCCCTTCTCCCAGCATCCCCCAGCCCCACTCAGCTGCCTGTACAGCCCCTCAGTCTACCACCAGTTCTTGGCTCACAGGCAAGCGGGCAGCCCCAGGCAGCCAAGGCCAGCCTGCCTATCAACTGGGTACTCACAACTCAGAAGCTGCTCTCTGTCCCAGTGCCAGCTGTGAGCCTCCCCCAGTCAGTGATGACCCCTGATACCATAGGACCACCAGCAAAACAGCTACCTTCCCCTGCCACGACTCCTGCTTGCTTGGGACAGCTTCCAGCCAGTACAGACACAGAGCCTAAAGGTCCTCAGGGCCAGGAAATACCAACCATATCTGGACCCGAAAAGAAGGCCTTGGACCTAAGTCTGCTTTCCCAGGAAAGCGAGACAGCCACACTGACATGGCTGAAGGGGTGCCAAGGTGCTTGTGTGCCCCCACTAGGGAGCAGGATGCCCTATCAGCCCCCTTCTCTGTGCAGCTTGCGAGCATTGTCCAGCCTCCTCCTCCATAAAAAGGACTTGGAGCAGAAGGCTTCCTCTCTGGTGACCAGCCAGGCAGCTGGGTCCCAATCTGAGCCCAAGGCTGAAGCCCTACAAACTTCCTTGGGGCTAGTACAGAGGCAGCTCCAGGACAACCCAGCTTACCTCCTGCTAAAGACACGTTTCCTGGCTCTCTTCTCCCTTCCTGCACTCCTGGCCACTCTGCCACCCAACAGTGTCCCCACCACCCTGTCACCAGCTGTGGCTGTTGGTTCTGAAAGTGACAGTGAAGACCTCCTTGGTGACCTGGAACTTAAGGACAGGGCCAGGCAGTTAGATTGTCTGGCCTGCAGGATACAAGCAAGCCCAGCAGCTACAGACCCTGAACAGGTAAGGATGCTGGGACAAGCAAAGGGTCCTGCAGTGCCTTGCCTGCCTGTGTGGCTTGCTGGGAGTGGTGAGCTAGGCAGGTGGAAGTTGTGCAAGGGAGTATTCTTTGGGTTTCTAAAGGAGGAAGAAGCTTTCCAGTCTGCCCGGTTGGGAAAGGGCTTCTTAGAAGAAGTTGCCTCTCCTGGGCTGGCTGTAGCAGAAGAGGGAGGCAGCCTTCTACTATGACGTAGCCCCACCCCACGCACATACTACATACCTGAACGCAAGGTAGAGAGGCAGGCCTAACACATGATCTGGGAGGGGGAGTGCTGTGGGTACAGTGGAGGTAGTTGTTGCCCTTGTTCGTGCTCTCATGGGTACAGAGTTACTCCCAGGCATCTCTTGCTCACAGATTGCTGGCCTGGCAAGACAGTCTGTTCCCATAGGAACCTAGGGGCAAAATGTGTGGACCTATTTCCCTTCCCTCCCTGGCTGCTCCCAAGAAGCCGTACCAAGCCTCTTCCCCTGCAAGGGTTAGGTATACAGAACCTTCATACGGCTGTCACTCTATTCCTGGTGGTGCTACCCACCTGGGGATCTCTAGGATATAGTCTTGTCTGTCTCCATTAGCCTGCACCTCAGAGTAGGACATTGGTTACCATGGAATTGCCTTATGGTTGGAGATCCTACCTGAGGAGCAAAAGTGTAGAAAGCTAGGACCTAGCTGCTCTCATGTGCTAGCATGTCTTGGGGAAGCACGTGTTAGGGCCGGGGCGGTATTCGTCAGTCCTCCCTTTCCCATTCCCTGCCGATTCTGTCTGGAGTCACTTGTCTTCCCTGGCCTGGCCTTTTATTGTTTCAGAGAGCTCCAGGTCCTGGTGAGGACCTGGATGCTTCTGATGACCTTGATGTGCTCAGGACTCGGCATGCTCGGCATTCCCGGAAACGGAGGCTACTATGAGCAGCAAGGTGAGTCCCTGTGGATGGAGGCTGTCACCCTGCAGCCAGGAAGAGACACAGAAGCTTGGGCTTCCTCTGCCTGCTCTGGGAACAGCTAAGCTGAGGTGGGGATCAAGTCTGAAGGCTGACTTATGCCAACAGGGCAAGGCTTCTGGAGGCGCTTTTGGAATACTTAGTGCCCCTGGTCCTCCGCCTTTCCCTACCTGAAGCCCCATGCTGCCTAGTGTGTCTTTAGTCCTTGGCATTACTCCCCTGTGCCTTGAGTTTTACCCCTCCCTTCCTGTGGTATCAGCTCCTCAGAGCAACCTCTAACTGCTCTTCTGAGGGGCACTGTTGACTCAGTGTAGGTCTTGAGTGTTCGCCTCATGCAGCCCATCAACATAATTACCTGTGTGGTCTCTCTGACCCTAGACCCCAGACTGTAACTTGCTTTCATTGCTGAGTCCCTGGGCTCAGGTCAGGGTAAGCAAGGAAGGTGATGGAACCGTGAGGGGAGGTATCCAGGATGTTCTAGTTGGCTTGTGAAGCCACCATAACTTGTACTGCCTGTCCTCATACTGCAGTGCTAGCTTAGTCCCTGCTCTTCAGCAGTACCATCTGTGGGGTCTATCTTGGTGCTGGGGTAAAAACACTACCAAGAGTACCCCTGTGTTTCAGGACAAGGACTCAAGGGGTCCAGAAACCTACTCTTACACCAGGCAGGAGGCAGAGCCCAGGCCTGACCAGAAGCCCACAGCCCTCTGCAAGAGGAAGCGGAGGCCAGGAAGCTGCAGGCCTGCAGACTTAACCTGTCTGCAGCAAGCAACAGGGACTCTGATAGCAGTGGCCATGTGGTCACAGGCTTAACTGTTACAAAATGCAAATCCACATATTTGAAGGAATAAAATAAATGTCTATTTTTTACTTTAAAAGCAATGCATAGCCTTTTGTGGTTTTGTCTTCTGGTATTGGGTACCCATCAGCATCTGAGGATGTGGTTGCCTGCCAGTCCTGAGAGCCTCCCACACCCTTGGCTGCCCATGCAGCCCCTAGACCCAGTACTTCACCAGAGAGCAGGGAGAATGGAGGAATAGCTCTTCTTCCCATTTCATGAAAATGTCAGCTGGCCTGTACCTTCCTAGGCGAGATCCCTAGAACCAGCATCCCCCCCCACAATAGCAGCTCCCCTCACGATAGTAGGCATGGAACTAAGGCCCAACTGGGGCTTGCCTCTCCCTTAGTCACTATTATGACACCAGATTCTCTGGGAGTCCCAGAACCCTTGACTCTACAGGATTTGGTTCTTACATGTTTTTTTGTTTGTTTGTTTGTTTGTTTATTGGTTTTTCGAGACAGGATTTCTCTGTAGCATTGGAGGCTGTCCTGGAACTCCCTCTGTAGACCAGGCTGGTCTCAAACTCACAGAGATCCGCCAGCCTCTGCCTCCCGAGTGCTAGGATTAAAGGCGTGCGCCACCACCGCCTGGCCTCTTACATGGGTTTTATCCTCTGTTGTGGGAAATTTCCAACTCAGAGAAAAAGGGTAAATGTGACCAACCTGGTCCTGGTGCTTGTACCAGCTGTCAACAGGTGGTCACCCTTTAATCCAGCAGGTGGCTCATCATTCACAAACTACCAGCTGTGGTTGCCAGCTGATCAGGCACGTGCATCCAGGGTCCAGCCTTTTTAGTGGCTCCCTCTAACCTCCACATTAGATTTCTTCATTCTGGAATATTCGGGGGTTTTCAAGTATCTTGGTGCTATTGGTTTCTACCTCAGCTCTATGGCTGAGAGCTTGTCATTTGTATTAACACTTTAAGAAGACACCATGATCTGTGTTTTTACTATTTGGGGACAGGGCCTTGAAGGCCTGGTGCTGGCTTTCCTGGAATGACTGCAAGGCCATGAACCCGTCAGCCATCTTGAAAACCCAAGCAAAGCACAATCCCTAGCAGTGTGGCTCCCAAAAACCAACGAGGACTCCTAACTGCCTGCTTCTGAGAGTTCTGGGCCACTGTCCCCACAGGAGCCAGCAGAAGGGTAGAAAGCTGCAAAGGAAGGGGCCAGCTGGGGCTCTGCTCTGTATAAGCTTCCTACCCTTCCCACCACAGCACTGGGAGCTTTTGCCTCAACTCCATCCAGGAGGCCAGGCAGCAGCACCTGTCAAACAGCTACACTGGCTGGGCAGGGCTGGCAGGTCCCCACACCCATCTCAGGCATAGAGGACTCTAACTGCCTATAGCCTGTGGATTTTGACCAAGCTTTGTTCTGGTGCCTAGACTGGCTCTGCCACTCCTGGATTAGCTCTCCTCCATGGCCTGGAGGAGAGGGAAACACAAGGTGGGAATGCTCTAAAGATGGATATGAAGGGCACTGTATCTCTACGGAGTGGAGCTCAGCTGTGGGCTGTCAGCTTTGGTGTGGCCAGAGCCTGTGAGCTCAGGGTTATGGCTAAAACCTTGACCCTGTAATCTTGACCGTGTCCTGCTTCACCTACCCTGTACCACTGTCCCTAGTTGGTAGGTGAGGTTATGAGACACAGTTCCATGCTAGAAAAGCAGCTTTCAGAAGCCCGGATGCAGAAGGGCCTTGGACCACCCATCCACAGTGCCAGATGTTCAGATTCTCTGTCCTCCAGGCCCCTAGTCCTAGGCTTATGGGTAGACAGGGAGGGTTCCTTTGTTCCCAGAGCACTTCTACTTCCCTCTGTTCTATTCCTTGTTGGGCCAATCAGAAGGTAGACCAGCAAGGGCTGTCCTGTGGGAGGACTGGATGGCCTATGGCGTCAGCCAGAGCACATCAGGAAGTGCACAGCCTCCCTCATGGCTCCACCCTTCTCCAGTCAAGGAGCATCTCCACACTCCCAGAGACCCAGGTTTCTGGTGTGCTCATAGCCCAGGCAGCCTCCAGCTGGCAGGTGGCTCTCACAAGACCCTGAGGTAAGTTCAGCTAACATACCCTTCCTGGAAGGTGGGTGGAAGCCTGTGGTGACTCTGGGGATCCTGGAGCAAGTACCCCAGAGCAGCAGTCAGTCAGCACCTACAGTCAGGTGGCCTTCATTCTCATCTTTTCATCTGACTAATCTTTGTTCATTGCAGCATAGTCCTCCAGGGCTGGGACTGTGTGGCAATGGGGCTGGAATGGCAGGCAATTGGTTCAAGGTTCTGAAAAATGTCCACTGGATCAACAAGAAGGTACAGCAGGGAACTGAGAAGTGCTTCTGAAGAATAAGCCTGCCATGGCCGTGTCTAGACCTAGGGATGCAGCTTCTCTGGTCAGGGTCCCAGCATTCTTAAAGGGCTGGAGACTGGGCTAGGGGCCTTCTATGGCTACTTTAACTCAGCCCAAGAGTCACTGAAGCCACTCACTGAGACTCCACCTGTCCACAGGTAGAAGCAGTGGGTAGTCCCACATGAGTAATACCCCTGTCAACAACTGGCCTGATTGATCCCCAGCATGTGGCCAGAGGCCAGAACTCATCTGGAGCAGAAAAGCACAGGGTTTCCTGGTGCCCAGCTCCTGAAAACCTGGAGGGGAGTCATAGCAGATGTCTGGAGACTGTGAATGACATTGCCTGCCTTTCCAGGGTACCCCAGCCTGGCAGGGAGATGAGACATGCTCCTATGGCCAACCCTCACTTGCCCTCCCAGAATAGCACCATGTCACAGGCAGCTGCCAGAGGGCTGTTGCATCACTGTCTGGCTACAACGGAAGGCTTGAAGGACATGGGGCCTGTCAGAGAATGAGGAAGTCACACATAGGACTGGCTCCCTGGCAGAGTGAGAAAGCCTCCAGCCAACCAGCCTCTCGGCCACAATCTGGACACGGGCCCGCCAGAGCCCGTGCCACCCAAGAAGGTGCCGTGTAGGATGGCTACTAGGGGCAAAAGCTCCCTACATTCATCTACCTTCAGGAGGTTCAAGAGCACTTTAGGGTAAAGGGCAGAAGCCAAAGAAGGGCCATTGTACAAGGAGTGTTCTCTTAGACCCCAACCTGCCCTTTCCCTGACATATCCAGGTGACTCAGGAAGAAAGTTTGAGGTAACAGAGGGGCAGTTGCTTGGGGAAGATGAGCTTGGCAGGGTGGCACTAGGAGGGGCTATCAGTGCACCTCTGCTATCCCTCAGAATCTGTGGAACAAAGATGAGGTTGACCCCTCAAATTTCTCCAGAATGAGTCCCTTGTGTCCTTGCCCAAAGCCCTGTTCTGGCACTCACAGGCCTGGGTCCTATTGTAGGCTGACTGCTCCAGACCCAGTAGAGAACAGAAGGTGGGCACTTCCTGAGCTGCTCTCCCCTGACTGTGACCACAGACTACAGAGGACATGTCAGACTATGAAAATGATGACGAGTGCTGGAGTGCCCTGGAGAGCTTCCGGGTGAAGCTCATCTCTGTTATTGACCCCTCACGAATCACACCCTATCTGCGCCAGTGCAAAGTCCTGAACCCCGATGATGAGGAGCAGGTGCTCAGTGACCCCAACCTGGTCATTCGCAAGCGGAAAGTGGGTGAGGGCTGCTCCCACACCAGCAGGGCTGTCCCTAGTCCCTCATGGTCCCCACAGACACCTGGCCAGAGGCTGCTACATGCTGTGCCGCCCTGGCCTTGTCCCCACCCAGCTCCATCTACACCTAGGATGTATGCATGAGAGCCTTCTCTCCTCTCATCATGCCTACCTGCTGCTACCCAGAGGAGGGAAGGGGAGTTCCTACCATTGTTCAGGCTGTGAGAGAGCCACAAGAGTGAAGGCAGCACCTTACTCTGCCTTGACTGAGACCTGCAGGGTGCCTTATGCAATGCCCCAGATCCCTCTGCTAGGAAGGGCCCAGAAACGAGGGCTGGGGGTCCACAGCTTGGCACCTCTACTCAGAGCAGTCATCCACTGTCCCACCTGGGCCCCAGAGCTTCTACATACCCAGACCTTGGCCTCAACTCTGTCTCTTCCATCTGTAGGTGTGCTACTGGACATCCTGCAGCGGACAGGCCACAAGGGCTATGTAGCCTTCCTTGAGAGTCTGGAACTCTATTACCCTCAATTATACAGGAAAGTCACGGGCAAGGAGCCAGCACGAGTCTTCTCCATGATCATTGGTGAGAGGCACAGAGTGGGTGGGTGCTGTGAGTGCAGTCAGGTGCCACCAGGTCCTGGCTTCTGTGATTACATCAGAGTGAATGAGTCTAATACAAGCCCTGTGGTACATATCAGAGTAGTGGTACCAGTGACTACTCTCAGGTGCTCAGGGTCAGGGCTCCCTTCTCTGCCTTTCCTACTCCCATCCTAAGAACATCCACTAAGAAGAGGTGACCCCTCTATAAAGTATTAATTCCATGGGGCCCAGTTACCACCTAAGGACAGAATCCCACAGTTTCTAGAGGGGACAGAGGTGAACTGATGGAATAGCCACATCCCTATCAGTCCACATCCCTATCATTCATCTCATAAAGATCTTTATAAAGGTAGACAGAGGGCCAGGCATGCTGGCACACACCTTTAATCCCAGGGAGAAGCAGGCAGATCTCTGAGTTAGAGGCCACCCTGGACTACATAGTGAGACCTTTTCTCAGGGAAAAGAGAGAGAAAAAGAGAGAGAGAGAGAGAGAGAGAGAGAGAGAGAGAGAGAGAGAGGGCCAGCTGGAGTCCTGGCATGTGATAAGTTAGAATCTCAGTCAGTTCATATGTGAGGGGCAGCAAGGCAGACTGGGCCTGGTGAACAGTCCCCAGGGAGCCTTCCCACCAGCTTTCTCTCTGTGGAAGACCAGTAGTGCTCCCTCTGCCCCTCAAACTGCTGGTCTTCAAGCACATACTTCTGGACAAGGACAAGCACAGGGTCTGCAGGTGACAGCCACAGGCTCCATCTGACACTGCATGGTCCCCAGATGCATCAGGGGAGTCAGGCCTGACGCAGCTGCTGATGACAGAGGTCATGAAGCTGCAGAAGAAGGTTCAGGACCTGACGGCACTTCTGAGCTCCAAGGACGACTTCATCAAGGAGCTTCGGGTGAAGGACAGCCTCCTGCGCAAGCACCAGGAGCGTGTGCAGCGGCTCAAGGAAGAGTGTGAGCTGAGCAGCCGAGAGCTGAAGCGCTGCAAGGATGAGAACTATGACCTGGCCATGCGCCTAGCACATCTGAGTGAAGAGAAGGGCTCAGCGCTCATGCGGAACCGGGACCTGCAGCTCGAGGTGATCGCTTGTCCCACCAGCAGGGGGGTGGGGGTGGGGGGGTCTGGAGGAGGCTGCTGCTGACTGGACCACCCACAGGTGGACCGGCTCAGGCACAGCCTCATGAAGGCAGAGGATGATTGCAAGGTGGAGCGAAAACACACCCTGAAGCTCAGGCATGCTATGGAGCAGCGGCCCAGCCAGGAGCTGATGTGGGAGCTGCAGCAGGAAAAGGACTTGCTGCAGGCCCGGGTGCAGGAGCTGGAGGTCTCTGTACAGGTAGGGCTACCAGCAGTGCACACCAGGGGCACACCAGATGGTACAACTGCAATGGCCAGGCTTGTTGCCCTTTGCCACCTCCAGGAGGGCAAGCTAGACAGGAACAGCCCCTACATTCAAGTGCTGCAGGAGGACTGGCGCCAGGCACTGCAGGAGCACCAAGAGCAGGCCAACACCATCTTCTCCCTACGCAAGGACCTCCGCCAAGCTGAGGCCCTCCGGACCCGGGTGAGAGGGCAGGGCAGGCAAGCAGTACCCACTGGGTATCTGGAAGGCAGGGTCTGGAATGTAACTCACTGTCTCCCCTTCACCAATTCCTGGTGCACAGTGGTGTCATGTCCACAGCTAGGGTCATCCTTTCAGTTTACCGTGTGATCGGTGGTGGCTGAGGCCATGGTCTCAGACCAGGCAAGCCTGCTGTGGCCTGGGACTGCAGTGCCCTTCCCATCATCCCGGCTAGCCCGATCTTGAGTGCTCTGAAGGTGTTGCCTGAGTCCAGCCCAGGGCCAGGTGAGCAGTGGAGAGTGGGTGAGGCTGAGTGGTGCTTCCTGTAGTGCGTGGAGGAAAGGGAGATGTTCGAGCTGCAGTGCCTGGCCTTGCGTAAGGATGCCAAGATGTACAAGGACCGGATCGAGGCTATCCTGCAGCAGATGGAGGAAGTCTCCATTGAGCGGGACCAGGTAGGTGTTGCATTTGTGTTCAGAAGATGAGAATGAGAGGAGTGTTTGGGTGCCGGTGTAGAGGCTTTTGAAGCTGTGGTCAACTCATTACTTTATCTATCTATCTATCTATCTATCTATCTATCTATCTATCTATCTATCTATCTACCTACCTACCTATCTATTTATGCCTGAGGTAACTTGGCAAATCTATCTATCTATCTATCTATCTATCTATCTACCTACCTATCTATTTATGCCTGAGGTAACTTGGCAGTGTTGAAAGATAGAACCTGGAGCCTCTTGTACAAAGACAGGAACATCTGCCTCTCTCACAGGAAGGGCCAGTGTAGCAGGGGAGTCCCAGTGGCGCCTGTGCTGGTTAGGGGAAGGTCAGGGTTGGAAACTTCAATAGAGGAGAGGAAGTTGCTAGCTACACAGGTGGGAGGTGGAGGCCACAGTATTGGGTAGAAGAGCTGGTGGTAACCCCCTGGAATAGGCAGCAGTAGTAGTAGTGGTAGCTCATACCTGTACTCCCAGCATTTGGAGGTTGAAACAAAATAACTACTGTGAATTCAAGGCCAGCCTGGATTACACAGTGAGTTCCAAGCCAGTTTGGGCTACAATGGTAGACCCGGTCTCAAAAAACCAAAAACAACAAAAAGTAGTAGCAACTGAGCCAACTTTGGTGGCACATGCCTGTAATTCCAGGCTTTGGAGGTAGAGTCAGGAGGATCAAAAATTCAAGGCCATCCTCAGATACATAGTAAATTTTAGGCCAGTTTGGGAAATGAATGAAACTGTCTCCCAGGAAACAAAAGAAGAAGCATGGTATTCATTTTAAGAACAGCCATCAATCATGTTCTTTGTTTGTTTTTTGTTTTTTGTTTTTTTGAGACAGTGTTTCTCTGTGTCATCTTGGCTGTCCTGGAACTCACTTTGTAGACCAGGCTGGCCTCCAACTCACAGAGATCCGCCTGCCTCTGCCTCCTCAGTGGTGGGATTAAAGGCGTGTGCCACCACCGCCCAGTGATCATATTCTTGATGTCAAGATGCATCCAGAACTTGAAAACATGCCACATGGGTGGGACAGAGACACATACTGACTAGGGATGTTTGACTTCTTGGTTGGACTTCCCTAGGAACTATCTTGAGTGTTGGCCATGGTCATTTCAGCTGCTTCTTTTTGGAGTTTTTCTTTTTAAATTAATTTTATTTATTTTTGATTGTTCTGAGACAGTGTCTTATGTAGCCTTGACTCAAAGTATGTCCAAAGACGACCTTGAACTACTGATCCTGCTTCTGCCTCCCAAATGCAAGGATGCTGGGTATGTGTTGCCCCACCCAGTGTCTGTTCTTCTGTACTGAGAGCCCCGACTGCTTTGAGAACCCCTCCAGTTCAGCAACTCCAACTGCACAACAGGGTGGCAAACATCCAGTCAGGACCTTTAGTAGAGGCTGCCGTTTGTACTGCCAAATAAAAGCCAAGAGCACCACTAACCAGGTCTCTTAATGAGGGTGTGCCCTCTCTTGTCCCTACAGGCTATGGCCTCGAGGGAAGAGCTGCATGCACAGTGTGCCCAGAGCTTTCAGGACAAAGACGAGCTTCGAAAGCAGGTTCGAGAGCTGAGTGAGAAGGCAGACGAGTTGCAGCTGCAGTTGTTCCAGAGTGAGGGCCGGTTAGTGGCCGCCGAGGGCAGACTCAAGCAGCAGCAGCTGGACATGCTCATCCTGGTAGGTCTCCCTGTCTGCTGTATCTTGGGCGGTCTGGGAAGTGAGGGAACTGGGGAGGACATGGGGTCAGGGCAAGATTCCAAGAGGGATCATGCAGCCTAGGGGCATCCCCATTCCTAACCTGGCACGGCTGGTGACCTGCTTGTGGCTTCCAAAAAATGCCTGGGCCTTCCTGAGTTCTTTTTCCTCTTTGGAGCTCCTCATGTCAGTGATAGACATATATGTAACTCAAGGTCCAGTCAGCACATAGGACAGCGGCCTTGATCATTCAGGTGGCTTAGTAGAGTAGAATTAAGAAAGACAGATGTTTTGGGCAGGGTCCTGAAGAGACGTACGGGCATGACTGAGCATGCAGGGCCTGCCTAGAGGATGGAGCCCTCACCATGCCTTGCACACCCCCTGCCCAGGTGCTTAGAACCCTGTAGCCCACTGACCAATTCCCTTTTCTGTGGCTACAGAGCTCTGACCTGGAGGACACTTCACCCAGGAACTCCCAGGAGGTGAGTGTGATCCAATGGGTGGGCACAGAGTGGGCCTCTTCCAGGCCTGCAACCTCCCTCTGACCCCACACTCATCTCCCACATGGTCCTGTTCACCTGAACTGGGCTGTCCCTTCTCTCTCCTTTTGGGTTGGATACAGGGAAGAGTGCTGACCAAATTCTGAGGCCTTTGTTTGTGAGCAAAGTGAGGCACCATCCAATGCCCACAGCCTGGCCTCTTAGGACAGGAACTTTATGCTAGGGTTCCCTTTGACCGTTGGCCTGGCTGGCACTGAGTCTCTGAGGATCTCTGTGCAGAGGGGTGACAGTGATGGCTGTACCAACTGAGAAGCTAAAGTCAAGTGGGCAGTGGGGTCGGCCACTGGAAGGACAATGGTGGCTTGTACCATGGCCTAACTGGGTGGCATGTCTCTGTCTGGAAGCTCTCACTGCCTCAGGATCTGGAGGAGGATGCCCAGCTCTCAGACAAAGGTGAGGAGGGGGGGTACCATGCTCTTCCAGAACCTCCCCTACCCCTAAGGCACCTGGGCTGTAGTCTCCTGGCCTCCCAGAGCCCTGGCCCATCCTTAGCACACAGAGTTGTGTGACTTACTCTGTCTCAGTAGTCACCACTCCAGGGACGGAAGAACTGAGGCACGGAATGGCAGTGGTGAAGGGCTAAATTTTTAGGCTAACACACCCAGAGAATAAGGAATCTGATTTGAACATGGGGCTTAGGTCTCAGGGTCTGTGGCTCAGAGGGCAGAGGGATATACTAGCCAGTATCCAGGTGTGCTCAGTGAGGAAGTAAGAGATGGTGCTATGGACAGAGCAGCAAGCAAGGAGATAGGGGTATGCTATCCACAGTAGCAGGCTGCCAAACAGGACTCTCCTCTGATCTGAGTGTTGGCTCATTAGTCCTGGGGGTGACAGTTGGGGGAGCTGGTGAGAACACTGTCCTGAAGTAGCTGGAGGTAGGAGGTGGGGGTCTGGTACAGGGAGGAGGAATCCTGAGAGCTTTCGTGAGAAGTTAGACAGACTTCCTCCACCCCGGGCTTTAACCAAAGGCAAAAGGGGAACAAGTGGTGCGGATGGAGAAGTGTAGAGGTGGCTCACCCACTGTAGCCCCCAGGAACCAAGTTGAGGCCACTGAGCTCCATGTGGGCACAAAAGGAGGAGAACCCAAGAACAGCCAGCTCCCTGAAAAGCATGCCAGGAGTTCATGAAAATGAGAGGGGTAGGGGATAGGTCTGCTGGTTGCTCTCGTACTCTGAGTATAACTGTTTCTTGAGGTATAACTGTTTCTTGAGGTTCATAGCCCTCCCTGGACACCTACCTGGAGACTTGAGCCGTGCTCTTCCCACCTAGTCTGGTCTAACTAATATAGTGTACTTGCTCTCACCTCCAGAGGTCCTGAGATCACCACTAGGCACATAAAGGAGATGTTCCTGTTGCCAAGCCAACAGGAACATGGCCTGGGACATGCATGAGCAAACTGTCCTGGAGACCAAGAGTCTTTCCTACCCATCCACCCTTGTATGTTTGGTGACAGTCAACTTGAAAGGTGTGGGTGGGTGAGTGATGGTAGGAGCCCTGTTGAGTACTCCTGGCAGCCAAAAGCTGGCTCAGCCTGTCCCTGTCTTAGGAAATGCAGTCTCCACTGGACTTGCCTGAGGATCCCAGCTCATAAGGACTAGTGCTAGTGGGGCTGTTAGCAGAGGGAGGTGGTGGCCATGCCAAATGCCTCCCCCCAACACACAGCTCTTCCTTTCAGGTGTCCTGGCAGACAGGGAGAGCCCAGAGCAGCCCTTCGTGGCTCAGAGCAAGGAGCAGCTTTCACAAACCCATGTAAGGCTGACTGGGGCCCCCAGAACCTTGGTGACTCAAGGGGAGGAAGGTGACTCCACCTGTACCCCTGGACAACTAGGGATCACAAGGTGCATGCATGTGATATAATGTTTGGGTAGTGTTTGGTACATGAAGTGGAGACCCCCCTTCTTGGACAGACCTCTAGATGTATGGTGGTTGGATGGGGTGGGAGCAACATGAAAGGACCCCCATGCAGCAAAAGAAGTGTATCAGGCTTTCTCTGGGTGGCTAACCAGATCCCAAATGATGTGGAAACTTATTAGTTATCAATGTTCAGCCTTATTCTTGTCCTACTAGGTCTTATAACTTAATTCAACCTGTTTCTCTTCATCTATGTTTTGCCTCGGGGCTTTTTGCCTTTCATTCTGCATGTCCTACTTTTCCTGCTTCCTCTGTGTCTGTCTGTCTGGTCTTTCTCACCCATTCTCTTCTCTCTCAAGCCTGGGTTCCACCTACTACTTATTCTCTCTGAATACTAGCCCCACCTATCCCTCTTCTGTCTAGCTTTTCATTAGACCATTTAGGTGCCTTAGGTAGGCAAGGTAAAAGAGCAACACATAATTAAACAAATAAAGCATAGACAAAAAAACAACTTAACTTTACATAAAGTAATATCCTGCAACATAAAGAAACGTAACACACCTTTACATAGTTAAAGTAATATTCCTCAACAAAGAAGTCATCCAGTCAGCCAGATGCTCGCTCATCTTGGGAGTCCATCAGGCATTCTGCCAGCTGGCTCAGTTTCACTCTTTCAGGAGTCCCAGGGCAGCCTTGGGAAGGTCCACGGTGTCCAGCTGCCAGCACCGTTCCTTGTGCAAGGCACTGGGCCCAGCAGCAGCGAGCCCCCGGAGAAAGAGCGGCGGCGTCTCAAGGAGAGCTTCGAGAACTACCGCAGGTGTGGGGCGGCGGGCAGGACGGCCTAGGAGGGTGGGACACCTGCGTGTACCTGCTCACACTGCGGTCCCACAGGAAGCGGGCGCTCCGCAAGGCTCAGAACAGCTGGCGACAGGACGAGGGGGACCGCGAGAACACCACAGGCAGCGACAACACCGACACCGAGGGCTCCTAGCAGCCCGCGCCGAGGCTGAGCGTCTGTGTAATTGTGAAGGGGTGCTGCATTTTTTACTGTACGCTACACATGCGTTGTACACGTATTGGAAAATACAACTAAATAAAGTGACCACCAAGCCGAGCCTGTTAGGAGGGTATGCACTTGTGGGGACGCCAGGGGGCGACAGAGGGCAGCGCGCCGGCGGCGACAGAAGCCGGAGAGGGCCGCTTCCGGCCACGGCGCCCGTTTCCAAGATGGCCGATGCGGCCTCAGTCGTACGGGGCGGTGCAAGAAGGGGCGGCCCAGGACTTCGGGCAGGATG